CAGCTATTCTAGCCATTTGGGAGGTCGAGGTGGGCAGTTCACCTGAGGTCATGAGTTCCGGGTCAGCCTGGGCATCTCGATGAAAACCCACGTCACTTAAAAAAAAAAGTAGATAAAGAAAATCACAGAAATTAGACAAATTAGTGTGCACAATCTGAACAAAACGTGGTGCCAGGTGGCTCCACGCCCCACCCCGCCTTTCTGTATGACGTACTGCTTTCCTCCTGTCACCCGGGCTGGAGTAAAACACTGTGATATTGGCTTATTGCCACAACTGTATAGTGGGTTCCTGTGGTCGTTCGGTCGATGCCTCCCAAGTAACGGTGTTTGAATATGTCAACACCACCTGAAAAGGACAACTTTCTGTTTATTTTTGTAAACCTAAAATCTATCTGTATTTGATTTGTACAAAACAGTTACAATGGCAAAACTAAATGAATGAATAAGAAACAGAAGGCTGCGTAGGGCTTCATTTTTGTGATGAGGCCTCTTTGGGCTTGTACGTAGAGTCCCAATTTTAGTGTACGCGCTGCCGAAGTGAGCACATGCCGTGTCCGGCTCAGCTTTTTTATTTTTTTCGGTTTATATGTGGTTTATATCAAGCTGGTAGTGCTGTGTCGGTCGAGGCCTGTCTCGAATTTGTGATCTCACTGTCCGCCCGGCTCGACATTCCACTGTCATGGGATTACACGTGTGATGCGCCGAGCCTAACCCAAGTTTTGTTTCCATTCTGAAGATGGAGATTTCCCATGTCGGTCGAAAGGGTCTTAAAAAGGCATCCTTGAAATTTTTTTGCATTGGTCTTCGAAGCGCCTAAATGACAGGTTCCTGTGAGCCAGCGTACCTGGCAGGCCGAGTTTCATGTTAACAAGAGAGAACAGAGAGACTTTGCCCAGCACTGTGACTAACACCAGCTCTCCTAGCCATTTGGGAGGTCGAGATGAGCGGTTCACCTGAGGTCAGGAGTTCCGGGTCAGCCTGGGCATCTCGGTGAAAACCCACTTCACTTAAAAAAAAGAAGTAGAAAAAGAAAATAACAGAAATCAGACAAATTAGTGTACACAATCTGAACAAAACGAGCTGCCAGGTGGCTCCACCCACACCCCGCCTTTTTGTATGACGTATGGCTTTCCGCCGGTCACCCGGGCTGGAGTGAAACACTGCGATCTCGCCTTATTGCCACAACTGCATAGTGGGTTCCAGCGGCCGTTCTGCCGATGCCTCCCAAGTAACTGTGGTTAAATATGTCAACACCACCTGGAACAGACAACTTTCTGTTTATTTTTGTGAACCTAAAATATATCTGTATTTGATTTGTAGAAAACAGTTACAATGGCAAAAGTAAATGAATATATAAAAAACGGAATGCTGCGTAGAATTTCATCCCTGCGCTGAGGCATTTTCGGGCTTCTATGTAGAGTCCCAATTTTAGTGTAGGTGCTGCGGAAGCGATCTCATGCCGTGCTCGGCTCAGCTCTTATATTTCTTTCGGTTTTTATGTGGTTTATAGCAAGCGGTTAGTGCTGTGTCGATCGAGGCCCGTCTCGAATCTGTAATCTCACTTTCCTTTTGGCTCGACATTTTAGTGTCATGGGATTCCATGTGTGATGCACCAAGCCTAACCCAAGTTTTGTTTCCGTTCTGAAGATGGAGATTTCCCATGTTGGTCGGGCGGGTCTCCAACACGCATCCTCAAAAATTTTTTTGCATTGGTCTTCTAATCGCATAGATGACAGGTTCCTGTGTGCCACCGTACCTGGCAGGCCGAGTTTAATGTTAACAGAAGAGAACAGAGAGACTTTGCCTAGCACTATGAGTACCACCACCTATCCTAGCCATTTGGGAGGTCGAGGTGGGCAGTTCACCTGAGGTCACGAGTTCTAGGTCAGCCAGGGCATCACGGTGAAAACCCACTTCACTTAAAGTAAAAAAGAAGTAGAAAAAAAATCACAGAAATCAAAAATATTAGTGTGCACAATCTGAACAAAACGAGGTGCCAGGTAGCTCCACCCTGCACCGCACATCCTGCTTTTCTCTATGACTTACTGCTTTCCTCCTGTCACCCAGGCTGGAGTGAAACACTGCGATTTTGGCTTATTGCCACAACTGCATATTGGGTTCCAGCGGTCGTTCTGCCGATGCCTCCCAAGTAACGGTGGTTGAATATGTCAACACCACCTGGTAAAGACAACTTTCTGTTTATTTTTTGAACCTAAAATCTATCTGTATTTTAATTGTACAAAACAGTTACAATGGCAGAACTAAATGAATAAATAAAAAGCGGAATGCTGCGTAGCATTTCATTATAGGGCTGAGGCCTTTTCGAGCTTCTATGTAAGGTCCAAATTTTAGTGTAGGTGCTGCCGAAGCGAGCACATGCCGTGCCCGGCTCAGCTCTTTTATTTCTTTCGGTTTTTATGTGGTTCATAGCAAGCGGATAGCACTGTGTCGGTCGAGGCCTGTCTCGAATTTGTGATCTCACTGTCCGCCCGGCTTGACATTCTACTGTCATGGGATTGCAGGTATGATGCGCTGAGACTTACCCAAGATTTGTTTCCGTTCTTAAGACGAAGATTTCCCATGTTGGTTGTGCGGGTCTTGAACACGCATCCTGGAAATTTTCTTTGCGTTGGTCTTCAAAGCGCCTAAATGACAGGTACCTGTGAGCCACCGTACCTGGCAGGCCGAGTTTCATGTTCACAGGAGACAACGGAGAGACATTGCCCAGCACTGTGACTAACACCAGCTATCCTAGCCATTTGGCAGGTCGAGGTGGGCAGTTCACCTGAGGTCACGAGTTCCAGGTCAGCCTGGCCATCTCAGTGAAAACCAATGTCACTTAAAAAAAAGTAGAATAAGAGAATCACAGAAATCAAACAAATTAGTGGGCACAGTCTGAACAAAACGAGGTGCCAGGTGGCTGCACCACTCTCCCCGCCTTTCTGTATGACGTACTGCTTTTCTCCTGTCAACCAGGCTGGAGTGAAACACTGCGATCTCGGCTTATTGCCACAACTGCATAGTGGGTTCCAGTGGTCGTTCTGCCGATGCAACCCAAGTAACAGTCGTTCAATATGTCAACACCATCTGGAACAGACAACTTTCTGTTTATTTTTGTGAACCTAAAATCTATCTGTATATGATTAGTACAAAACAGTTACAATGGCAAAACAAAAGGAATAAATAAGAAACGGAACGCTGCGTAGCATTTCATCCTTGTGCTGAGGCCTTTTCAGGCTTCTATGTAGAGTCCCAATTTTAGTGTAAATGCTGTGGAAGCGAGCACATTCCCTGCCCAGCTCAGCTTTTTTATTTCTTTCGGTTTTTATGTGGTTTATAGCAAGCGGGTAGCGCTGTGTCGGTCGAGGCCCATCTCGAAACTGTGATCTCACTGTCCGCCCGGCTCGACATTCCACTGTCATGGGATTACAGGTGTGATGTGCCGAGCCTAACCCAAGTTTTGTTTCCGTTCTGAAGACGGAGATTTCCCATATTGGTCGGGCGGGTCTTGAACATGCATCCTCGAAATTTTTTTAGTGTTGGTCTTTGAGGCGCCTAAATGAAAGGTTACTGTAAGCCATCGTACCTGGCAGTCAGAGTTTCATGTCAACAAGAGAGAACAGAGAGACATTCCCCACCGCTGTGACAAACAAAAGCTATGCTAGCCATTTGGAAGTTCGAGGTGGGCGGTTCACCTGAGGTCACGAGTTCCAGGTCAGCCTGGGCATCTCGGTGAAAACCAACGTCACTTAAAGAAAAAAGAAGTAGAAAAAGAAAATCACAGAAATCAGACAAATTAGTGTGCACAATCTGAACAAAACGAGGTGCCAGGTGGCTCCACCCCCCACCCCGCCTTTCTGTATGACCTATTGCTTTCCTCCTGTCTCCCGGGCTGGAGTGAAACACTGCAATCTCAGTTTATTGCCACAACTGCATAGTGGGTTCCAGCGGTCATTCTGCCGATGCCTCCCAAGTAACTGTGGTTGAATATGTCAACACCACCTGGAACAGACAACTTTCTGTTTATTTTCATAAACGTAAAATCTATCTGTATTTGATTTGTACAAAACAGTTACAATGGCAAAACTGAATAAATAATAAACAAAATGCTGCGTAGTGTTTCATTTTTGCGCTGAGGCCTTTTCGAGCTTCTATGTAGAGTCCCAGTTATAGTGTACCTGCTGCCGAAGTGAGGACATGCCGTGCCCGGCTTGGCTTTTTTATTTCTTTCGGATATTATGTGGTTTATAGCAAGCGGGTAGCACTGTGTCGGTCGAGGCCCATCTCGGATTTGTGATCTCACTGTCACATGGCTCGACATTCCACTGTCATGGGATTACAGGTGTGAGGCGCCGAGCCTAACGTAAGTTTTGTTTCCATTCTGAAGACGAAGATTTCCCATGTTGGTCGGGCGGTTCTCGAACACACATCCTTGAACGTTTTTTGCATTGGTCTTCGAAGCGCCTAAATGACAGGTTCCTGTGAGCCACCGTACGTGGTGGGCCGAGTTTCACGTTAACAAAAGAGAACTGAGAGACTTTGCCCTGCACTGTGACTAACACCAGCTCTCCTAGTCATTTGGGAGGTCCAGGTGGGCGGTTCACCTGAGGTCATGAGTTCCGGGTAAGCCTGGGCATCTCGGTGGAAACACACTTCACTTAAGAAAAAAAAAGAAGTAGAAAAAGAAAATCACAAAAATTAGACAAATTAGTGTGCCAAATCTGAACAAAACCAGGTGCCAGGTGACTCCACCCCCACCCCACCTTTCTGTATATCGTACTGCTTTTTTTCTGTCACCCAGGCTGGAGTGAAACACTGCGATCTCGGGTTATTGCCACAACTGCATAGTAAGTTCCAGCTGTCGTTCTGCCGATGCCTCCCAAGTAACTGTGGTTGAATATGTCAACACCACCAGAAAAAGACAACTGTTTATTTTTGTGAACCTATAATCTATCTGTATTTGATTTGTACAAAACCGTTACAATGGCAAAACTAAATGAAAAAATAAAAAATGGAATACTGCATAGCATTTCATCCTTGCGCTGAGGCCTTTTCGATCTTCTATGAATAGTCCCAATTTTAGTGTACGTGCTGCAGAAGAAAGCACATGCCATGCCCAACTCAGCTTTTTTATTTTTATTTTTGGCTTTTATGTGGTTCATAGCAAGCGGGTAGCGCTGTGTTGGTCGAGGCCCGTCTCGAATCTGTGATCTAACTGTCTGCCCGGCACAACATTCCAATTTCATGGGATTACAGCTGTGATGCGCCGAGCCTAACCCAAGTTTTGTTTCCGTTCTGAAGACAAAGATTTCTCATGTTGGTCGGGCGGGTCTTGAACACGCATTCTCGAAATTTTTTTGCGTTGGTCTTCGAAGCGCCTAAATGACAGGTTTCTGTGAGCCACGGTACCTGGCGGCCCGAGTTTCATGTTAACAAAGAGAAAGGAGAGACTTTGTTTAGCACTGTGACTAACACCAGCTATCCTAGCCATTTGGGACGTCGAGGTGGGCAGTTCAATTTAAGTCACGAGTTCCGAATCAGCCTGGGGATCTCCGTGAAAACCCACTTCACTTAAGAAAAAAAGGAGTAAAAAAACAAAATCACAGAAATCAGACAAATTAGTGTGCACAATCTGAACAAAATGAGGTGCCAGGTGGCTCTGCCCCCCACCGCGCTTTTCTGTATGACGTACTGCTTTCCTCCTGTCACCCGAGCTGGAGTGAAACACTGCAATCTCGGCTTATTGCCACAACTGCATATTGGGTTTCAGTGGTCATTCTGCCGATGTCTCCCACGTAACTGTGGTTGAATATGTCAACACCTCCTGGAACAGACAACTTTCTGTTTATTTTTGTGAACGTAAAATCTATCTGTATTTGATTTGCACAAAACAGTTCCCACAGCAAAACTAAATAAATAAATCAAAAACTGAATGCTGCGTAGTGTTTCTTCCTTGTGCTGACGCCTTTTTGGGCTTCTGTGTAGAGTCCCAATTTTAGTGTACGTGCTGCCGAAGTGAGCACATGCCGTGCCCGGCTCAGCTTTTTTATTTGTTTCGTTCTTTATGTTGTTTTTAGCAAGCAAAAAGTGCTGTGTCTGTTGAGGCCAGTTTCTAATTTGTGATCTCACTGTCCGGCCGGCTCAACGTTCCACTGTCATGGGATTACAGGTGTGGTGAGCCGAGCCTAACGCAAGTTTCGTTTCTGTCCTGAAGACAGAAATTTCCCATGTTGGTCGGGCGGGTCTTGAACACGTATCCTCGAAGTTTTCTTGGCATTTGTCTTCGAAGTGCCTAAATGACAGGTGTCTGTGAGCCACCGTACCTGGCAGGCCGAGTTTCATGCTAGCACTGAGGCCTTTTCGGGCTTCTACGTAGAGTCCAAATTTCAGTGTACATGCTGCCGAAGCGAGCACGTGCCATGCCCGGCTCAGGTTTTTATTTGTTTCGGTCTTCATGTTGTTTCTAGCGCGCGGGTAGCGCTGTGTCGGTCAAGGCGAGTCTCAAATTTGTGATCTCACTGTCCGCCCGGTTCGATATTCCACTGTCACGGAACTACAGGTGTGATGCACTGAGCCTAACTCAAGTTTTGTTTCCGTTCTGAAGACGGAAATGTCCCATGTTGTTCCGGCGGGTCTCGAACACACATCCTCGTAATTTTCTTTGCATTGGTCTTCGAAGCGCCTAAATGACAGGTTTTTGTGAGCCACCCTACCTGGCAGGCCCGGATTCATGCTAGCACTGAGGCCTCTTTGGGCTTCTATTTAGAGTCCCAGTTTCAGTGTACATGCTGCCGAAGCGAGAACATACCATGCTCGGCTCAGCTTTTTTATTTCCTTCGGTTTTTTTGTTGCTTATAGCAAGCGGGTAGCACTTTGTCGGTTGAGGCCAGTCTCGAATTTGTAATCTCACTATCTGCCCAGCTCGACATTCCACTGTCACAGGATTACAGGTGTGATGTGCCGAGCCTAACCCAAGTTTTGTTTCCCTTCTGAAGACGGAAATTTCCCATGTTGGTCAGGCAGGTCTCAGACATGCATTCTCGAAATTTTCTTTGCATTGGTCTTCGAAGAGCCTAAATGACAGTTTTTTTTTAGAACCGGTACATGGCAGGCCGAGTTTCATGCTAGCACTGAGGCCTATTCGGGACTCTATATAGAGTCCCAATTTCAGTGTATGTGCTGGCAAAGCCAGCACATGCCGTGCCCTGCTCTGCTTCTTTTTTTCTTTCGGTTTTTATGTTGTTTATAGCAAGTGAGTAGCACTGTGTCTCGAATTTGTGATCTCACTGTCCTCCCGGGTCTACATTCCACTGTCACGGTATTACAGGTGTGATACACCAAGCCAAGTTTCATTTCTGTTCTGAAAATAGAAATTTCCCATGTTGGTCGGGCGGGTCTCGAAAAGGCATCCTCGAAATTATTTTTGCGTTGGTCTTCCAAACGCCTAAATGACAGGATTCTGTGAGCCACCGTACCTGGCAGGCCGAGGTTCATGCTAGCGCTGAGGCCTTTTTGGGCTTCTATGTAGAGTCCCAATTTCAGTGTACGTGCTGCCAAAAAGAGCACAGGCTGTGCCCAGCTCAGCTTCTGTATTTTCTTAGGTTTTTATGTTGTTTATAGCAAGTGGGTAGCACTGTTTCAGTCGAGGCCAGTCTCGAATTTGTGATCTCACTTTTTGCCCGGCTCGACATTCCCCTGTCATGGGATTACAGGTGTGATGCGCTGAGCCTAATTCAAGCTTCGTTTCCATTCTGAAGATGGAAATTTCCCATGTTGGTCGGGCGGGTCTCGAACACGCATAGTCATAATTTTTTATGCGTTGGTCTTCGAAGCGCCTAAATGACAGGTTCCTGAGAGCCACCGTACCTGGCAGGCTGAGTTTCATGAAAGCGCTGAGGCCTTATCGAGCTTCTATGTAGAGTTTCAATTTCAATGTACGTGCTGCCGAAGTGAGCACATGCCGTGCCTGGCTCAGCTTTTTTATGTCTTTCGGTTTTTATGTTGTTTATAGCAAGCGGGTAGCGCTGTTTGTGTCGAGGCCAGTCTCGATTTTGTGATCTCACTGTCCACCCGGCTGGATATTCCACTGTCACCAAATTAGAGGTGTGGTGCGCTGAGCCTAACCCAAGTTTCGTTTTTGTTCTGAAGATGGAAATTTCCCATGTTTGTCGGGCGGGTTCGAACACGCATCCTCGAAATATTTTTTGCATTGGTCTTCGAAGTGCCTAAATGAAAGGTCCCTATGAGCCATGGTACCTGGCAGGCCAGGTTTCATGCTGGTGCTGAGGCATTTTTGGGCTTCTATGTAGAGTACCAATTTCAGTGTATGTGCTATTGAAGCTAGCACATGCCGTGCCCGCCTCTGATTTTTTATTTCTTACAGTTTTTATGTTGTTTACAGCAAACAGGTGGCGCTGTGTCAGTCGAGGCTGGTTCCAAGTTGTGATCTCACTTTCCGCCCTGCATGACATTCCACTGTCACGGGATTGCAGGTGGAGTGCACCGAGCCTAACCAGAGTTTTGTTTCCATCCTGAAGACGGAAATTTCCCATGTTTGTCGGGCGTGTCTGGAACACGCATCCTCGAAATATTCTTTGCGTGGGTCTTCGAAGTGCCTAAATGACAGGTTCCTTTGAGACACCGTACCTGGCAGGCCGAGTTGCATGCTATTGCTGAGGCCTTTTCGGGATTCTATGTAGAGTCCCAATTTTAGTGTACCTGCTGCCAAAGCGAGCTCATGCCATGCCCTGTTCAGCTCTTTTTATTTGTTTCGGTTTTTATGTTGTTTATAGCAAGCAGGTAGTGCTGTGTCTGTCGAGGCCAATCTCGAATTTGTGATCTCACTGTCCGCCCGGCTCGACATTCCACTGTGACGGGATTACAGGTAAGATGCGCCGAGCCTAACCCAAGTTTTGTTTCCGTTCTGAAGACGGAAATTTCCCATTATGGTCAGGCGGGTCTCGAACACGCATCCTCGAAATTTTTTTTTTGTTGGTCTTCGAAGGGCCTAAATGACAAGTTCCTGTGAGCCACCGTACCTGGCAGGCCAAGTTTCATGCAAGCACTGAGGCCTTTTTAGGCTTCTATGTAGAGTTTCAACTTCAGTGTACGTGCTGCCGAAGCGAGCACATGCTGTGTCTGGCTCAGCTTTCTTTATTTCCTTCAGTTTTTATGTTGTTTATAGCAAGCGGGTAGCGCTGTGTGGATCAAGACCTTCCTCGAATTTGTGATCTCACTGTCCACTTGGCTCGACATTCCACTGTCACGGGATTACTAATGTGATGCGCTGGGCCTAACCCAAGTTTTGTTTCCGTTCTGAGGACAAAAGTTTCCATGTTGGTTGTGCGGGTCTCGAACACACATCCTCGAACTATTTTTTGCGTTGGTCCTTGAAGCGCCTAAATGACAGGTTCCTGTGAGCCACCGTACCTGGCAGGCCGAGTTTCATGCAGGCACTGATTTCTGTTTGGGCTTCTATATAGAGTCCCAATTTCAGTGTACGTGCTGCCGAAACAAGCACATGCCATGCCCGGCTCAGTTTTTTATTTTCTTTCTATTTTTATGTTGTTTATAGCAAGCAGGTAGCTCTGTGGTGGTCGAGGCACGTCTCGAATTTGTGATCTCACTGTTTGCTTGGCTCGACATTCCACTGTCACGAGATTACAGGTGTGATGAGCCGAGCCTAACCCAAGTTCTGTTTCTGTTCTGAAGGCGGAAATTTTCCATGTTGGTCTGGCGGGTCTCGAACACGCATCCTTGAAATTTTGTTTTGTTTGTCTTCGAAGCACCTCAATGACAGATTTCTGGGAGCCACCGAACCTGGCAGGATGAGTTTCATGCTAGGGCTGAGGCCTTTTCAAGCTTCTATGTAGAGTTTCAATTTCAGTGTACGTGTTGCCGAAGCGAGCACAGGCCGTGTCCAGCTCAGCTTTTTTATTTCTCTCGGTTTTTAAGTTATTTATAAAAAGCAGGTAGCGCTGTGTCAGTCGAGGCCAGTCTCGAGTTTGTGATCTCCCTGTTTGCCCATCTCGGCATTCCACTGTCACAGGATTACAGCTGTGATACGCCGAGCCAAACCCAAGTTTTGTTTTCTTTCTGAAGACGGAA